CCGGCACTGGCTGTAATCCCGGTGGTCCTGGCGTAGTTTGCTGGCCGCGGAAGCGGGGCTTCTCGGGTGGCCCTGGTGCAAGCGTCGTTGTGTCTGGTGCGTTTTAGCTGCAGAAGTCAGGAAATGAAGGGGGGCCTTCACGGAAAAATTAGTTGAAGCGCACCGCTTGTATCGCTCCAGAGTGGTAGCCAGAACTGTAGCGCTGTGTAGTCTTCCGTCATCTTAGCCGTATGACGTTACTGCAGTTGGTTTCCGTCTTTGAGGCAATTGAAATGAACGCCTGCCTCGCTGTAATGGGTAGTACTGTCTGCATTCACATACTCGCCAACCTGTCCATGTTAAACGTGGTAAGAAAACTTTGACGTTTGCATTTCCACTTCACAAAACGTATGGGGAGGAAGTTCATATTTCAGCCTGGTTTAATCTGAGAAAATCAGTAAAAAATCTTTTTTGCTTTTTTCAAATTAAGGGTTGATCCTTTCTCCAAAAAGGACTGGTATGATGTCAAAGCACCAGCAATGTTTAATATCCGAAACATCGGGAAGACGCTTGTCACCAGGACTCAAGGAACTAGTGAGTAGTGGGGTTTTATGCAGTAGTGAGAGATGTATTTGTTCCATGTGCTAGCTCCAAACGTGACTCGATTAAAGAACTGCTGACAAATAGTTCTTGCTCATAATACTATGAACCTGGAAGTTAAAAAAAAAAAGTGCCTCTATTTTAATTGCTTGAGTTAAGTGAGTTTTCTTAAGTTGACAGAGTTGTTTAAACCAGTGAGCTTAGTTGCGGGGAAATTAATGCGGTGTGGTCATTGTTTGTAGAAGAGCACCAAACTGTGGATATGATACAGAAGGACATGCCCGAAGTTTCTAATGAACTGCTGTTGTGGTAACCTGATGAATTTGAGGAAAGCTAAGAATTAAGGAGTCATTCTGATAATCAGAGAGAGATGAGGGGACCATGGTCATAATAGGATCATAAAGACCATCGCCTTATGAGGGACTGAAACTTGAAACTTTTAGGTAAAGAGAGATCTCTGAGAGCTGGAATTGCTAACTTAATGGGAGCATATGTAGATGTATTGCTGAATGGTCAAGGGTTTTTACCACTGAATGGTAAAGGGTTTTTTTGTATCAAGGTTTTTCTTATACATATAGGAAAAGGGAGCCTCTGTTCAGTATGCAGGATAATCTGGATGGAGGTAGCTATTTTTGGAAGGTTAGCTGTGTAGAATGGCTAAATAGTTGAGATACACTGTTTTGGTTGCACTTACAGTTACAAAGATGACAATTATTTTGAACTGTATATATGTGAAACAAGTAAAATAAGGGTCACTGTAAACCAAGAATGAGTCAGCCAGTGTTAAAATGATCAGTTGTTAGAGCTGTGAAACGACTGTACTTAGGTGTTTGTTACTGCTTTATCTCAGCTGAGCACATGTGGCTTTTTATGTTTCTCTTTTCATTAATGTTCATAATTTCCAAATACTTTGTAACGCCTTCCACTTTAAAAAAAAAAAACCCAACCTATTATATATGCTGGAATCTGCAGTATACTGGTATTTGTGTTCAGCATCTGATACAATTCCCTTAAAAAGATTCCTCACAAAGTTAACACAATACGGTATTTGGTTCCATGAGTTGATTTGATCTTGTTCAAGATGCATGCAAACTTCAGAGCTGTGAAGCTAGTGGCATCACCTGCTATTGGAAAACATCAAATGGAAGTTCAGTATGTGATTTGAATAGTACTTTTCTGATGTTAACAAAAGGCGTTTTACTTTGTTTCATAATGCAGAAATCGCCTCTGACGGACTGAAGGGTCGTGTATTTGAAGTGAGTCTGGCTGATCTGCAGAATGATGAGGTGGCCTTCCGTAAATTTAAACTGATAACTGAGGACGTTCAGGGCAAAAATTGTCTGACCAACTTCCATGGAATGGACCTCACCCGGGATAAAATGTGCTCCATGGTCAAAAAATGGCAGGTGTGTAAAGAACAAGGCCTGCGTTGTTGCTAGTGCCTTTAGGAAAGGAGGTAACCACTGATGCGTTGCAAAGCTATGTTTGAAGTGGGCTTGGCAGGCACTAATGAATGTCAGGTGCATGGTTTTGAGAAGCCCGTCTGTCACGTTGATGATAAACGACCATTTCTTTTTTAGACAATGATCGAAGCCCATGTAGATGTCAAAACCACCGATGGTTACCTACTGCGCCTCTTCTGCGTGGGTTTTACAAAGAAGCGTAATAACCAAATCCGCAAAACCTCGTATGCCCAGCATCAGCAGGTTCGACAGATTCGCAAGAAGATGATGGAAATCATGACCCGAGAGGTCCAAACCAACGACCTGAAAGAAGTTGTCAATAAGCTGTAAGCTTTGGCTGTGTTTTTGTTTTTCTCCCCTACAGTTTAAATAGTTGTTTGCTGGTCAGTTGTTACTGAGTACTGAGGGAATGCTGGTGCTTCACGTACTGTTTGGCAGAGACCAGGCAAGGCGCCTCTTGTGCTGACAAGCTGACGTGCCATTTTCTTCGAATACTCTCTTAGTCTCTGCATCATTTGACTTCCATCAACCGTCATGTTTGCATGAACGTAAAATCAGGCTCTCCAGAGATTTTTGGTTTAGTCGGTTTCTGCAGACTAAAACTGTAATTCTGACCAGTTGGCGCTGTGAATGTTCTGGGTTCTTCTGACAGAAGGAGGTTTTCCAAAGTGTGGTGTCTGCTTCCAAAAGTTTGATTGCAGATTTGCTCTCAAAATGAGCACGCTTGCGCTATATCCCTTCTAACGTTGCAAGGAAAACGTCTTAGAATCTAAACGTACTTGAAGAAAACTGTCAGAGCGTGAAGGTAGTTTTGATGATGCAAACTTCTGTAGAATATTACGCGTTCCTAAGAATTACTTTAAGCCTGTGTTGCTGATGAAGCAGCAGGCATAATTTTTAACGTTCTGGTACTGATGTGCTCTCCGATTTTTCAGGATCCCAGACAGCATTGGCAAAGACATAGAGAAGGCGTGTCAGTCCATTTACCCTCTTCACGATGTCTATGTCCGCAAGGTTAAGATGCTGAAGAAGCCCAAGTTTGAATGTAAGTCGATCACTGCAACTGTTTAGTGTTCTTAGAGGAGGATGAGTGAAGCCATTACTTCAAAATGCATTTGCTTTTGGATAAAGGTGTTAAAGCAGCATCGTAAGCTTCAGTAGCTGTAGTAGTTAAAAGGCTTGTCCTGCTAGTCCGACAAAGCAGTGATCGTTCCGTTTGGAGCTTTCTTGAATTCTTGCCTGAAACTGCTGCCGAATGTTTAAAGGCTTTGGCCTGGGAATGAATGATGACAAAATGTTTCGGTCCCAGATGACAGGGGATGATTCCATTTTCCCATTTTCTGACATTCCCGTGTAATGCAGTAGTAGGTTCTTGACTTACCTGTTTTTAAAAAAAAAACTTTAATTTGCAATTTCATTATGTAGCACTTACTTCACTGCTTGTTTTTGTCTGACCCTGTCAGTTGTTGCAGCAGCATCTCCTTGCATGAGCTTTCTGGAGAGGACTTGATCATACCTACTTTAAATGTTCTGGTGGTTTAATTTGTGTATGATGAGCAATTCAGTAATTTAAAACTGTTTTAAATAGGTGTCTCTCTCACTATTTATAATACTTCTTCTTTTTAGTGGGCAAGCTGATGGAACTGCATGGTGAAGGTGGTGGTGCTGGAAAACCTTCTGGGGATGAGGCAGGCACTAAAGTAGAGCGAGCTGATGGATATGAGCCACCTGTGCAAGAGTCTGTCTGAAACTAAAAATTGATCGAAAATAAAAGTTTTAATATACAGAACTAAAGTTTGGTTGCCTGTATTGCTGCTGGACAATATTGGTACTGGATATGTGAATGGGTTTTTAAAAAGGTAAACCTATTGCCTTGGTTTAAAAAAGAAAAAGGAAAAAATACTTGCTTTGGAGATCTGTTTTTCATGATTGGTGTTGCGAGATGGGTGGAAGAAGGTGGTTTGTCCTTCTTGAAAGGTGCTACTGGAAAGTACAATACCAAGGATTCTGTATGTTGGTTTTTTCCCAGTGACTTTGGTCCTCGCAAAAGAAATCTTGTGGAACATGTGCGGAGGTTGTAGCTTCTGTTCTATTGGTGAAAGATGCTTGAAAGAGGAGCACTGTACAGTGCGAATGGGGTGCCACACAGGGAAACTTACTGTTTCAGGATTTTTTATTGTAAGGAAGCTTTGGGGATTTATCAGACTTACTTGCTTGAGAAATTGGTATGTGTATGTTCAAGTTTCTTGGTGGTAACTTACTTGATACGGCCTCTCAGGGGATAGATTTGGTCTCTGATCCTCAAAAGGTGTTAAAAGATCTTTAAGTTGTAATTTTGAGTACGGAAGCAGCGTTAGTCTTGAGCAGTGTAGAAATGCAGAATATGCTCAAGAGCAGGGTTGTATGTAGTTTTTTAACCTCTGTCAGAACTGAGGGGTAACCGTAATCACAGTTGAAAAACCTGTGGAACTTCAGGGGACAAAATTCTACCGTAAAAAGGCAAGAGTCCATGTTCTGAAAATGAAGCACTTAAAATTACTCAGCAAATCACTTAAGAGTGCTTTTTCCATTACCTGATAGTATTTTTGCTTGTGGTTCAGCTTATGCCGGCTTAAAAATTGAAGAGTGTGTTTTTCTGGCTAAAACAAGGAGTATTTTGCACTATCAGCATGTTTTCTTTAGAACTGGGCAACAAACCTAAACTTCGTGCTATTAAATTGTTGGCAAGCCTGTGATTTAAAACCTGAGAACAAAACGGTACTGACCTATTTGGGGAGGTCAACTGAGGTGGCGGTGGCTCTTGCAGTCAGCTGTGAAATAGCTTAGGACAAGAAAGGGAGGGAAGGAATGAAATGTTGCTGTTGCAACTAAGATAACTAGGGGAAAAGTAGAGCGAGGCCCCCCATGAGAGCTGTACTCTTCAATGTTGGGGATTTTAACCTTTTCCTAGTCGATAATTCTGGTCTGGAGCAAATATGCAAAACGAAAAGGATGTTTTCCAATTTATTTAGAAGACTGCAGGTGATGTGATTTCGTGTTGCGATTCCAAGTTACTATTTTAATATGGGGGGTGATATTTAGAACAGCCCATGACTGTAACTTCAGGTTAATTATATTGTAACTTAATTATAAGGTAACTTACTCTTCAGGTAACCATCTTTATTGAATTGTAAATATAGGCCTACTTGTTCTGCTTTTTCCAGTTTGCGTCGTGGAAGGGTAGCGAGTGCTCAAAACTCTCATGATGCTGAAACAGGAGAAAGGAATAGTGCTGCTTTTGGTCTTCGCTTTGCTCTTTTCATCTGTACTGTAGAGGCAGGTGTCATTCTCCTCCGGGCGTCCCAGACAGTCATATTTTTGAAACCATAAATGGCAACAAACTCCCTTTCACTTCTCTAAAAAATGAGAACTTTTCACTGGAGTTAGGAAAAGAAACCATGATCTAGGGTAAGTGTAGTGAGGTTGAAAATCCTTGAACCTACTACAGAAAGTTTTAATGCAGGTATCTACGTGTGTGTGTGTGTGTATCTCTATATATTCAAGCCCTGCACAACAGTAAGATCTGTCAGAGCGTTCCAGTAGTGGACGTGTGTTGGCTGTATTTCCTTTGCTTAGCAGTAGTTCCATCAAACAAATCCTAAGGGACTGTACTGGCCTCTCTGTAGGCGAGGAGAGTCACAAATCCCAAGGTGTCATTTCTGAAAACTTGCGTGTCTTATCCTGTTACTTTTTCCTTCAGCTGTACGCCTGAGGAGTATATGTTGCAAAAAGGCTAGTACAAGAGCATTTTTGGAAAGAACAAGAACTTGCTTTTTTTCAGTTTTTCAAAAATTGTTCTACTGTTTCATGCTGTTCTGGTTTGGGTTGTGGGTTTTGGTTTGGTTTTTTTAATGGAACAGTAGACCGCTGGCATTACTACATAGGGGCTCTGGGTAAATGTATGCTTTATAAAATTATTTCAGATGGAGAAGAGTAAGCAGGAAGGAAAATTTTGTGTATCCTCTGTATTCTCTCTACAAAAAAAAAATGATGGTGTATGAATAGCAGCAATCAACAGAGCACACTTGAAGTATGTGTGGAATTGCTAATGAGCTCAGGCTCAGCCTGTGTCTTCCGTCACAGGTGATCTTGCCACAGCGAGAGTAGAGCATCACCATCTTGTGTGATACCCTGGGATGACAGCCGGTTGCCACAGGTAGCAAGTGTCACGGATTCTGCAGGTGGCAAGCGTGAAACGTACCTGAGGCCGAAGGCTTGAATTAAACTGTGTTAAAGCCATCAGGATTCTGTGAGGGGTTTGGACTACTCGTAAAGGGATGCCATACTATTGTAATATTTGGGGGTGTTTGGAGGGTTTTTTTTGCTGTTGGGTTAAATACGTAAGCAGAATGAGATCCATAAAACTCTCATGTCAAGTGGAGAGCTCAGCTCTCCACGGCATAAGACAATAAAAATGCCATCATGGCTTAATTATAAAAAATTTTATTGGTTAAATACATTCTTAATTTACAGAGGTACCATAACAAACTTACTGGGCTTAACAAAGATTTATTTAGGACACTGTTAATTGTACACAGACAAAGACGTCTTCCTGAAGATGTTTCCAGAGGGTGGATGAAGCAGAAAATGTTTTGATAAATGAGGCTTTTATTATTGTACCCATGTATGGGGGTCTAGCTGAATTTCAAGGTTACACCTGAAATTTGCTACTCTATTGCAGTTAGGATTTGTGCTCCACCTCATTCTCACTTTTTTTGCAGAGTATGTACTGTACACCGTAGGAATTTTATGTTATGATCTGTATGCAGTTTCATGGTGATAGCAGGCATCAAGTCTTAAGAAAATCCCTTCCTGTAAAAGCCAAGCATCTAACTTGTTTCAGTCTTAATAAATACCCCTTGTTTTAGCTGCCTGCAGTAATGCAAGCAGCCTTTAGATGGCACTCCTTGCTCTGAATATGAGGCTTTGCTGCTCTTCTGCCCTGCATAATAGGGAGGAGATGATTAAAATAAAGGAGAGCGGTCTTAATCTACTGACAGGCACTGACTTTAAACATTCAGTGAAAGTTAGAAAAACAACTGGTCAATACACAGTTATAAAAACGGGGAAGAGGAAATTGAAAAAAATACAAAAAAATCAGTTCTACTTTTGAGACTTGTATCAAAATCTTAGAAAACTGCCAGACAGTAAGTAAGTAAACATCATCATACATGTAAGCTTCATCCACCACCACAACGATGCGGTATGTCTTTGGAGGACCTGGGTATTCTGTCTGTTGGTGTGGGCTTTGCTTGGTTCTGCTGTTCTCCCCCTGCTGTGCGCACCGTGGAGGTTCAGAATTGTGTTGGCACAGGTCACGGTGGAAGAAGCCTGTTTGAATAGGGTGATCCACTGAAAGTTTATGGTTGAAAAGTCTGAGTGGCTTGCAGGAGTCAGGAAATAGTATCTATCTGTATATTTGTTTCTTTGGATTCCTCTAGAAGGAGATAATCTGTTCTATTGGAATAAACAACAAGAACCTTCGGCATCTCCTGGCAGGAGAGCTTGGAGTGGGAAGGGTTGTCCTTGGAGGTGGACTTAGGTTAAAGTTTGGTTCCACAGGAGTTCCGGATAGGCTTGCGGGGATGGTAAAACTGAATAATAGCTGTATAAATTGTCATGTTTCCACCTTTATAGAATAGGACATGATTTATAATTGTTTTTATAATGTTACTCCCCTTAATGAAAGTAGAAATCCAGTTCTTGGCTCATTAAAACTGTGTGAGATCTTCATCCCCCAGTTGCGTGGACGGTATTGGTGCAGTTTAAATATACAACACTTCACGTTCATGAAGCTTCTAGAGAAAAAAAAAATGGAGGGCTAACACCTGTGTCTGTATTTGCAAGAACTGTGGCATAACAGTGACTGCAGAGCGAAATAGTGCCGACGACCTCATGTCTGTGCTGCATGTTCCTTGGGTTCACTTCAGGCAAGCTCCAGTCTGCTACCAAGACTGGATGCCCGTTCCCTGCTGCGGGGGAGTCCTTCAGCTCAGTTTTGGCTGTAAGCTTGCTTCTGCCTGCTGTGATGGTAACCGAAGTGCAGTGCATGGGGAGGGGAGGGCTACCCTCGCCAGCTTGCTTAGACACCCATTTAGATGCACCCTGATCTTTTGTGGCAGTAGGTGTTTGTAGCCATAACACTTGGACCTTGTATTGATAAAGTTGTAAGTAGACACATGACTGAGTCAAAACTTTCTCAAGGTCAATCATGATGATTCTAGTTTCCAGTCTCCATCTGCCACTCAACTGTTGGCCCTTCTGCAACCTGAACTTCCAGACCCACACAGAAAATTTTTGTAAGGATATCTCCATGCCTGGTGACCTGCATCTCTCTGAAGTAATGACTCGTGCGAACAGCTTACTGGTTCCGTTTTATTATACAGTGCAAAAGTGATGGAATACTGTCAGCAATGGAAGAGCCAACTGCAGCATAACTTTTTCTATTCCAGTCTGATGAAGTTAGCAGTTAATCAAGATGCATTTAACTATTTTGTCAGAGGCCAAGTGCTGCAAAAAGGAGTTTACTACCAGAAGTTCCTATAATGTGAAGCTACCTTAATCATGTCTGTCTTAATTTGTCATTCAGGTCACACTGCTGCTTTTTACTGAATGCTTTTGTTAGAGCTTCTTGAAGTAACTTCTTGCCAGGCGTGTTTTCCTTAAGGCCTTGATAGACCATTTATAATGATGCTCTGTATAGTTGGTATGTGGTAACAAACTGAAAATTAATCCCATGTCTGCTGAAACCTAAAACCAAGGCTGTATAATATCCCTCATGTTAAGGATAGGAATAGTGTTACTGAAGTATGTTCCAGTGCTTGAGTGACAAATGAAATGCAGACTGAGTGAAGACTGGCTTTCCACTTACACAAAGGGGGTGGAGGAGCAAATAGTTGGCATAGTGCAGCTACTGCATGGAGGGCATCTGAGAAAGCTCAGTAAACGCTGTCTGTCACAACTAACTTCAGCTGGGAAAGAAGGGTGTGATGGTGCTTGAAGAACAGCAGAAAAACCTATCTGGAAGGGATTTTGGGGGAAGGGAGGAAGGTCTAAGATGATTCATACTGATTTGAACGTTATTCGTTAAGAGGCAAAATAGTTAAGTTTTACTCTTGTGATCTTCCTGTATGAGCAGCTTGGGCTAAGAATAGAAGAATACTACACAAGGATTTGCTTCTGAGTTTTCCCTCTTACCAGTATTAGATTTGATATTTTTCTACTATGAAATATCAGTTATCTATCTTCCTTATCCTCTAAGTCATAAAACAAGTGGATTCTACTGCTAATGTGGAAGTCAAGCAGTAACGAGACCTGAATATCAAACTTGATCTACATACTGAATGCTGTAATTATATCTTAAAAACAATTTTTTAAATTTGGATTTTAAAAGTTTTTAAAGAAACCCAAAGCAGCTTACTTTATGCAGACTTTGTACATGATAAATATAATACCAGATAGTAAACATACTAGAATGCTATTTAAGTTAAAATGGTGTTGCACCACAGTATTTCCCTAGTTGGAAACCACTAAAAATCCTGCTTGTATTTGCTCTCAGAGCATTCATGAAGCATGACTACATACACTGTCACAAAAGACTAAAATTTTCTTACTTGACTTCAAGACTCTGGTATGACTGTCTAGAAGCAGTAGTGCAAAACATTGATAGTCAAAACACGTTGATGTCTTTGCTGTGCCTTTAGGATAGAAAACATTCTCTCCCAGATGCAGGGAGTACAAAGAGAGGCAACGCTTCATGGTGTTTTTAAAATCTGAACAAAGTTCTTGGGAAATATCCCAGACTTTCCTTGTATCTCTCCACTCATCCAGTCCTCGTCTACAGATTCCAGCTCTGTTATTGTATCACCTGCCTGTAAGAGAAGGAGTAACATGAGCCAGTACAGCTTACCGTGCAATGTTAATGCATGCATAGCTGATGTTATTCAGAAGCAATTAGTATCAATCAAATAGAAGAGAAGTAGGATGTGGCCAGTCTCTTCTGTTGGTTATGTCTCCTCAAGATTTTTTGCCAAAACCAGCTGAAGCATCTGTTAGGGTAAATACTTGTCTATGCTGAAAAATCACCGCCTTCCGGAAGGAAAAAATAGCACTGCTGGATGACTTCTTGCATTGCTTAAGCTCTCCGGGTAGATATGTTGGAGAGCTGGCTCACAGGCCCCCTGCTTTACTTGTTATTTGTGTGTGTTTCCCAGCTCTGTTACGAGGGTTTCTTTTCTTCAAATGCTTCAAAGCTTTTTTTTTTTTAAAGAATTTAGTCCCAATATTTTCCAGCACGTGGAAACTCTCCTTTCCCAAAAAGGAAAGCAATCTTCTAAGTAGCTCAGTGGGGCCATTTAAAATAAACTGCAGCTCCTGTATTTGATCCTTGTCCCTGTTTTCATCATCCCATGCCACACCCTACATCTGAAGTACTGTCATGGCCCTGGCTTTTCTTCCAGTACCTCCAATTCCCTTTTTCTGCTTTAAAGAATCATCTATCCTTTCAGTATTGCAAGCTGCTAATGCTGAAACTAATTATTTTGCTAGCTTTAGAAAGCAAAAATAGCGTGTTCCAGCTGATAAACACAATTTGGGGCCTGCTGTGAAAGTCTGCTGTTTCTCAGAAACTTGCTTTTGAGGACAGTTACCTAAATCATGACTTTGAATCTACAAGGGCACGCTGTTTCTTGCTCATGCTTCTTAATATTATCTGGGCATCCAGCAAGTATTTAATTTCTCCCCTTGCTCCCATGGCAACTATGTATCATGCTGCCAAACTTTTAGATTTTGCTATACTAGGTGTCCCTTAGAGGCATCCCTGCTGTAGCAGTGGCACTGTTACTATTATCCTCCTCGTTGCTGTCTTTCTAGTTAAAAAAGAGGCTCCCTTGACCATATCAAGTGATCAAGAACTGAATGTACTGCAAAATGAGGTTGGTCTTGTCATGTTTACTGGATCAGAGAAGTTGGAGGAATTCTGCAATTCCTGGCCTCTTTTCAATGTCTCCAGGGAAGATTTTGCCAGTATGAAACAGAAGTGGTAAGGGCAAAAATTTTTTGAGACTTGTTAATATCTAGGCCTATTCTACGTGCTTTGTTCTTTCCTGTTCAAAGCCTATTTTCACTGTGGATAAATCCTGGTTTTTCGCATTCTTAGCATAGGCCTTAGCATAAGACCTTTTGGAAAATTGGACTAAGAAGAAAGGTACTTACTTTGAAGGAAAGCTCATCTTCATTTTCTCCATGAAAATCATAAAGAGCTTTGGCTTTTCCCTTCTTCCCTCCTAGAGACTGTGACAGCTCTACCCTGGCTGCAGAACATGGACAAGACAAGTTATTTGGATTGGAGTGAAATAAATCTCTGTTTCTGGAGAAGTTTCCTGTCATTCTCATGTTTTCTCCCCACTAGTGTGCTACAGGGTGTCCAGATGTTATTACTACTGCTACTTAGCAAATCCACTGTCCTAATGGAATAAAAATCTCTACTGACACCAGTTCATTTTACAGTACTAACAAATTCTCATGGTTCTGCTTCTAAGAGGACTAATTTTAAAGTTCACTTTCTTGAACTTTCCAATGGCAATATCTAATAAAAGCTGTCTTTTCCTCTTTGTATGTGGAGATGAAGCGGCACTCGGTATGTGCTCTGTGCCAGTTAGGTGGAATTTATTTCCTGTCAACTTTTACTCACGGCTTTACTTGCAAAAACTATGGGGAAAAAATGTCATTTTCTGTGTCCTCTGTGAAGGTTTTGACTGCATTCATTTGGGGACCAAAGAGAAGCTCGAGGAGAACGAGCAGCGTTCATTCCTTGCTTCATCAAGGGCATTACACAGCAGCTGTAGTTATTTACAGCTCTACCAGCTCTTTGGCTGTGCTGCAGTGTTTCTCTTCAGCTGAGGCAGAACGTGGTGCCCCCCTATCTTTTGTACCCCTGAATTCCTACTGAAGGCAGCTCTCAGTGGTCCTGTTTCGCCCATGCCCAAACCACACTTTAAACTGACCCAGAATCTGTGTCACCTCCCAGATGACTCACTGACTAGAGCATTATATTGCCATTATTAGAGAGGGTGGTTCAACGCTTAGTTTAGCTTTAGGATATTAAGAACTGTGGTGGTGTGTGGTTTGTTAATGCAATGGAATAGCGGGGTTCTCCCAGAACTCTGTCATGACTGTCACAACCCAAGGAATAACGAATTGCTATCTAGTAGGAGCACTGTACCTGAGCGGGTCCGAACAAAAACTGCTGGGAAAATTCCTTCCTTTTCATTCAGTCTTCCTCTATACCACTCTGAATCTACTTGCTCCAGTATTTGGATGTAGTCTCCCTTTTTAAAGGATAAATCATCTTTGGTTTCTGCTGTAAAATCATGAAGTGCTTCACACCACTCTACTGAGCGTCTGTTGTTCTATTCAAGTGAACAGAAGAAATGCATTAATTTTAGAAGCGTTAATGGAGCCCATAAGCTGATGGATACTGGTGAAAGCAGCTGTACAGAACACGGGTGTCCTGACTTTCTCTCATACAATAGTGTCACTGCAGATGTAGACTAGAATGGCATTTCAGCAATTACCACAGAATTTCATCTAGGCTCAGACGCATTCCTTTGGTCTCATTGGTGGCAGGGGACAGGATTAATAAATTCAAAATTAGACCACTGCAGCAATACTTAAAATAGAGCTAAGAAGAATTTGCTTAAGCACAAAGGGTAAAAATTTACTTACGTTAATTTGCCAGAAGCTATGAATTCAATCAGTTTAGGCCAACTGTCAGAATTCAAGATGTGACCGTGCAGCACTGTGTGCTGTGGGAGTTGTGTTACATTCAAGTTTAAAGCTGTGCAGCTAATGGGACATTATAATAGAAAGTCTATGTAAATCTATGAAACGGCTATGTAAATTCTGTCCCTCACCTATAAAATTTTATTACCTGAGGAAGGGAAGAAGAAACCTCCACCTTGTTCTTCAGTGCTGCTCCTGTACCTACATAAGTGAAGGACAACTTAGAATAGCAGCAATGACCATTCAAAACCTTACTAATGATAGAGATTTTAGATATTCAAAGTTATTATTAAGAATAACTTCTTAAGAAGTCCTACCATTCCTTTTGATTTTTTTAATCTGTCTTTTCTCCCTTTCTAGCTCCTTCCTGCATTCATTGTCCTTTTGGACTTTTCTCCTATATGCTGCCTATATGCATGTGGTACAAAACCACGTTCTTGAAGATTTTTGCAACCATAGTCATACCTGTTCCAGGCAGATCTTCAATTACTTCCACAAAGTTCAAAGGGAAAATTCCAGATGTGCCTCTGAGCTCTCCTTTGGCCCACTCTTCATTTACATATTCTTTAAGGATAATAGTTTCACCTTCTGAAAAACTGAGCTCATCTTTCTGATCTCCAATATATTCGAATCGTGCTACACATCTTGGGCCTCTGCACAAACAAAAGACAAATTTACTTTGCTTTTTTATTATTATTGTCCACTTAATAATAAGGCAGCATTGTGAAAAATATGGATTGGTATCTTTAATTAAAATGATGAAAGAATGCACTGAAGATAGAACAGGTGGAAACTTGGGGTCTAGCCCTGGTTCTCATTTCTGCTTTCTGAGGAGTCTGGAGGAGCTGAACGCAACTTCTGCATCCCAGTTCCTGGCTGTTACAGTATTTTGCATAAGACCCTATTTCTCTTCCAAACAACAACAAAAATATCACCTTGTTTCTGAGCTACCTGTCCCATTTTATGTTTTTGCCCATATCCAAGTACGTGTCCTGATACGCTTTTGTTAAGAGTTTGATTTTTTTTGAGCTAGAATCCAATTTAGATGCAGTCAAACATGGGGGGCGTGGTGGTGGTGGTGGTGTGTGTTTTGTGTATTTGTCCCAAAGCCCAAATACATGGAGGTTTCATAGGGGGAAACTAGTTTTTATCTACTTTGACTAACTTTATTCTGTAAAATCTATCCTAGGCATGAGGAAATAAATTATCTATCGAAGACAGAAACATCAATGCATCTGATAAATTTTACATCATTTGGTATAATACTGAAAAAACAAATTCATTTTTTCCTCACTTAAATAGATTAATAATTTAATAAACTATTAAAATAAATTTAAGAAATTACTTTAAGAAGATTTTTGATTTATCAGAAATACTATGCTGGAAAAAAGTGTTAATAGGCTTTAATTCTTTCTATAGCACCGCAGCATACAACCAATGTAAGAAGCTTGATTCCCACCCCTGTCCCCCACTCATATCTTTGCAAAAGCTTCAGGACAGAGCTAGCACTTTCTGTTTCTTTCTTAGTTGCAGAAGCAGCTTTTAAAAATAAAGTTTCGGTTAAGACAAGCCAAGCCCTGTCTGAGGAACAAACTGAACCATCCCCTTGATACTAGTTCCTGCCTCTGCCTGAATTTGCTTTAATTGCTGCAATGAATGATTATGAAATCCAATAAATCATCGTTGAGTAAAAACAGCAGGAAAAGTTGTTCCTTGCCCACAAATCTTCGTACAAGTTGTTTGCAAGTCAGAAATGAAAAGTGCTTGAAGTACATTTGATAATTTGATCTGGGGAACTTTAGATTCACCTCTATAGTTATACACTTTTAAGCAGAGAAATCTATCTAACCTGAAGTTCAGCTATATCCTGTCCCATTTTATCTTGTTCTCTCAAATGCGTAGGAGCCCTACCATGTTACATCTTAAGAGGATTCCGAAGAAAGTAACAAGGCCAGGAGCAAAGAGAGGAGAGTGCAATGCTGCTGAAGTTAATCAGATCGGTTCACAGTTTCTGTAACCAATTTTCATGAAAAATTGTGGGAAATGCTCTTCTAATACAGCTCGTAAGAGGAAGGAAAGTGAGTGAAGGGGACTATCTTTATATAAACATTTATTATAAAGATAAAGTGATCTACCGATTTTTTGAAGCCATGAAGTGAGTTTTTAGGCTTTTTTTTTACCTGAATATGACTCTTACTAAAACATCATACACTTTCAGTTTTGAGAGCTTACTTTTTAAAATATATTTTGGTGAAGAAACTGTTAACCATATTAACCTCAGCGCAGATAACACCTGCTTCAAAGTTATCTTTCTTTTTACTTCCTAGTAAATCAACACAAGAAAGAAAAGAAGATTTATCTGACTCACTTAATACATTGTGATGAACAGGGTATTTTTTTCCTGTTGCTTTCTTCTGGAACATCAATCTAATAAGACAACAAAATAAGTAAAATCTTCCATTTCAAGCTCATGGCAACATAACTACAATAAACTTGGAACTGGTTAAAATAATCTAATTTTCAGCTAAGCATCAGCTCCAGTTATGACCTCCATGTGACGCTCTATAGTCGCTGGCATGCTATGATATATGACAATATTAATGTAGATTTCATCCATGTATGCTGATGTCTCATTTTTCAATCTCATGCAAACAAGGAGCGCTATTTAATGTTTTCGGTTATGAAGCTGTTTTACTTGTGGCGTGATTGATTGACAGAATATGGGACTGGATGCTACTACATGTTGTTGCATTTAGCTCCCAACTTTCAGTTGGTAATTGCTCTCTATTATTTACTAGCAGAATAGATCACAATAGACAAAATTATTGTTTACACTTATCCTGTCTGGGCTTTGGTAGCCAGCTGTCCTCCAAACAAAACCACATCTATCTCACAAATCTCACTTGAATTGGAGAAATATAATTTAGAAAATCAATACACGGATATGTCAAACTGACAGCATTCAAGTTCTTTATCATAAGAGGACTTCAACTGTATTTTTGGTGTGACACAAAGGATGATCTGTGAGATGTGTAACACTACAAGCCTAGAGACCCTGGCAAGGAGCTTTGGGTTACAGCTCACTATCGCATGAGCCAGTTCCCATAAAAATCAACAAGAATGTTTCATGAGCTTATGTGAAGGACTGGAGGAAATCATGCTGCCTTTTAGGACAAATAATCTTTGCAGTGCTCTTGCTAGAGGAGCGGGTATCTGTGGTGCTCTGAAGGTTCTATGGGAAGTAATAACCATGTATTATCGTTAGGTGTCCGGACCTAAGCTACTACCCAGCTCAATATTGTAAAACACACTATAGTGTATTGTATAGAGACCTTGTATCAAGATCAAATGTGACATGAATAAACAGGAGAATTCACTCAGTAAATTAGCCTCATGTACTGCACTCTTTTTCCTTTAATTTCCTTTAATTTCCCTTTTTTTTTTAATTTTACTGAAACAGAAGATTTCTGCACTCAAAGGGTAATCACCTTTTACAACTAAAGTAGAAATTTGAAACACATCTTCCCTAGCTTTTATGAAGTTGTATCTGTCTGTATCAATGCTGAATTTGACCCCAAATACTCATTCCACTGCTTTAACATAAAACCTTTTCTCTATTAGCCATCAGTAGTAACAAGAGCTTTTAAATTAAGCTGTTGGTCTGTGTAGAAGCAGCTAATCAATTTAGCTAACAATCTTTCTTGTGAAAGCGAACCGAGTATGGTTCCATTATTACTAACCCCGAGTTTAGTTTTTATTCTTCAGCACTTCTCAAATCTTAAAATTTTTCTCCAATAACACCGTTACAAACTAAACAGACACCCTACACTCTCTGATGGTTACCAAATACTTGGTATTGTCCATGTAGCAGCAGTGCTCATCTCTGCCAGCTGTCCCGGCTCGACACAGGCCCTTACTGTCTTTAATACCCAGCCATGCACCTTCACTGCATCCTGGTGTCAGTTTAGCATTCCTCCGTGTCCGTATGGCTGGTGTGGACAGCCCAACGGCCCTTTCTACTGTCACAAAACGGACTTCAATCTCAGACTCAGGCTTGCAGCAGATTTGACCCAGCTTTTGACACGGTGAACCATACTGTATCTCTTTTAAAGATGAGGCACTCAATTGCTATTGGGCTCCAAAACAGCACCTGTCTCTTGCCTGCCATTTACTGTCAAGTGTCACATTCAGTGACAGGATTGCTTTAAGCTGCTCATTTGCAACAACACAATCTCCTTGCACTGTGTCAGCACAACCATTTGTGCAGCCACTTAGTAAGCCACTTAGGTGAATTGATCCAGCTGGAAAATAAATATTCTAGGAAGAAAAAAAACATGTTTTGTTGGGCCCAACTGCTGCCCCAACCTAGTTCACCACATGGCTATAAAAGTGGTGATTCCAGCACAGTTCAAGGGACAAGAAAATGAGAGAAGCGGGGGGTTGGTGGGAGGCACAAAAAGCAACCATCTTACTGAGTGTTGATTCTTACATGCAGCTGTGAAAAATAATCTGCTCTGTAGACCCTGAGGAACTATGTAGGTTAACAAAGAGAATCTGGTAAGGGCCATGATTTTCTCACTTGTCTTCAAATTAGCAGCAAAATAATCCCCATAACACAAGTTGGTTGTGCCAAATCAAGCATCTTTCTAATACCATACAAACAAGTTGATACATCTTCTGTGCTGCCAGAGGGAAAAGAGATTATCTAAATACAGAATGGAGTTAAACACACAGGAGCTATAGTAAAATAGAACCAGAAAACAAATGCAATCGGATCTCATGTAGTGATGTATACAAAGCCTACATACAACTACTTTAACAAAGCTGGCAGGAAATATCCCTGTGCGATTCCCACATTTTCCTCTGTACCACTCAGTATCGATTTTCTCCAAAAGACAAACGATATCTCCAGAATGAAGGTCCAAGTCATCAGCATGCTCTGTAAGACAGCATCATTTCAGTTAACAGTAGTTGTCACGCTCACTGTTTTTCTCTAAGTAAAACCTTCTTAATATGAATACCACAGACAAAACCAGAATGAGTTTTCAAAAAGTCTTAACTATACCTGATAAACCAGTTAGCTTTAACTAAAAGACTAGCCCAACTATAGCTAAACCTATGGATTTGAACAACTCTACATGCAGACCTTGCAGGCTGAGCTTCCTCATTGTTTTTAAGCTCTAATTCCTAAGAAAATTCCCATTTGAAAGTCTTGGGAGTAAAACAAGCTTCCAGAATATTCACATTTACTTACCTGCAGGAAAATCATGCAGGACTACAGCATGAGGTGCACTTGTGTCAGAAACTTTTGGAGGGTGGTTTGAATCCTGACAACAACAAATAAATTCAAGTAGTTTATAAACCATGGAAGATACTAACAGAGATTCTCTGTTACGTACTCTGAAAGTAATTTTCTGACTTTGGACACAATGTTGTTCTGGTATCAGAGAATCACCTTTGGAGGCAATGGTCAGTATTGGTCACACAGCTACGGGTCTGATTTCTGTATGCCTTTCGCCAGTGTAAACCAGAATGCATTTCACCAAAATCTACTTTTGAGCCAGTAAAAGGAAGGGAAGACAAGTAACTTTTCCCAGTATAGACAAAGCCTCAGCTATCTCTCTGGGTCAGAAATCTGGAGCATTGATAGCAACTCTCATTGCAAGGGCTGTGGCCAAATTTTGCACTGCTGCTCAGTACTGCGTGCCATCAGTTACTCTTCCTTGCCCAGAGAGAACCCTCCAGCCCAACTGTCCCCAGCACACTCAACAGGGGCAGCACACCTGCTGACTGCCAAGCATTTTAGAGGGGCGAGCAAGCCACTAGGCCTTTGCTTACAGGAAGATAACGCTGAGGGGAAATGACAATTTTGTGTGGGATCTTTATAAAGGGAAATTATATTCAAGATGCTGAGCCTTCTTCTCTATCCCACCCACTAGGAATTTTTAGACTGTACCAATGACAATCACTGTGCGTGAATTACATTCAAAGTAATTCATTGCGTATAAAAACCCAGTCAAAAAAGCCCAACATGGACAAAGATAAGGCCAGAATAATATGAATTACAACAGATAACAACAGATTGCATAGAAATCTATTTCAGCCATGTAGGTTTCTGTTAATAATCAAAAAGGCTGCTCATAGCTATAATTTATGCTAGCTATTTAATATTAATACAGTCATGCCCTAAAAACAGATTAGGTTCTGTACAAGCAGAGAGAGGAAAATACTTTGAAGTCTGTATGTCAAAGCCAAGTCACTGATATATCATGTACAGCACTTCATAAAACTACTCGCTTATCTTTTGCCCACTTTTCAGATACTCGGCCAAGGAAGTGATTATCTTCCTATGAGACAGAGGAACTTTACCAGTTTCTTCTCCCTTCTGGCACTCCAAGCAATTACTGTTGCTCGGCTCCATAAGCAGAATGTCCCTGTGCTAGAAGGCAAATCACCATTACTGGGTTTTGTTTTGGTGGTTGTTTTGTTTTCATTAAAGAAACACAAGGATTTAATAAACCACTATTACATTTCTCAGTGTAACCTTTAAAGCCTAAAGCACTTGATACTTTAACACAACAGGAGTCTTGCTCATTAAATATTTATCAGCAGAAAAAAAATGCCTTACCTTACAGGACAGTTCTCCAGTGTTCCTGGGAAGACAATCTTCCTTGGCAACTCCATGAGGCACAGGTAGCTTGAATAGAAACAGAGGCAAATGGAAAAGTTTGTTTCACTTCTAAGCATCTGGAATTCCCACTACAAGTGAAAAAGATCAGACGATTGAACTATTCAAACCACCTACTACAGGTAACTAATTTAGGAGTCCAGTGGAAGAGGATAAGCTCATTTGGAAGGCATTCAGAACGGACTGCTGGTGATATGAACTGCCACGTTGAGAAACCCAGGTGTTATCATCCACTTTAAAAGCATCTTAGCCACCTAACTGGTATCATACCATACGATACATGATGTTCAGCAACACACTGACACAGAAATGTATTCATTTGTCATGGAGGGCACTGGAAAAACAACCTGGGAGGAAAATTTCATTGACAGCAACACTTGAGGGCAGGGAATTACTAGTGATCTGCTACTGAAAAAAATCTCATCTACAAAAATATGTCCATGTTTCTTATGTAAATAGGTGTGGCTACATCAGAGAGGAAGCAACATGCTTCCCTTATCTCAAAGCTGTTCCTACTATCAACTTAGATACATCTTTCTCTCTCTCTCTTGCTCCTCTGCTCCACCAAGGATCTAAATGCAGGAGTGAAGATCAAAAAGAAGGCAACTGAAAGCTTCCA